GTTTAGGGGTTGAGGCTTTAGGGTTCTTTGGTGTTAGTGTTTGGGGGGTAGAGTTTGGGGTTTAGCAAGTTTTCCACGCTTCCGCTTCAGTCTCCAGTTGCTGTATGAAGTCCTTCGCTTTAGCGGCTTTATGTCTACGCTCAAAATCTAGCACTGGCCACAATAATGAAGAGCCCTTTGAAGTATATAGGGTGTTCACTGGTTTCGGATCGAGATTTGTGGGTTTATGGGATGGGGATTTCGTGGGTCGGGAATTCAAGCTAGCAGTGGCAGAACCCACGGCAGGCGTCACAATGCTTCTGGAAAGAATTGCGTGCAAGTAGTACAGTACATGAGAATGCCATTTTATGATGTATACTTGTATAGTACATGCCCGGTAATGAAGTTTCGTCGCATCCGCTAGAGACACTAAACGGAGTACGCGCAGTACAGGAGTGAGGAATACCGTAGCCTGGCTAGCGGAGGAATTATCATGCCGTAATGAAATTATAAATCATAATCGTTCCTGGAGCAGGACTTGTGGAGGAGTCTAGGGGGAAAGGGGTTTTGGACAGGTTTGTTGTAAGTGAACAACACAGAGTGCGACGAACTTTCGGACAGTCGCAGTATTGCACAACATTATATGATGTTATCCTCTTCGCCCCGGCTTCTCCAGAATGCTCTCTTCAGGTTGCTTCGTTCTTTGCCGGGCTGAGGGCTTTGAAGCTTTGACGGGTATTTAAGCTTCAGGGAGGGGGTTGTTAGGGTGTATTTAAAGTGTTAGGGTTTGAGGGCGTTGGGTTTTGAAGGTCTTGTGAACAGTGGCCTTTGGCGCGACCACTGTTCCCGTTCCGTCCTGCCGCAGCAGGTATCGAGGCTTCTGACCCAAGATATGCGTTTGACAAATATTAGCTCTCATTCGTGGAGCCATCGGCTAATCAGGGCCGTCACTCGAATCAGCTGCAACACAACATAACGTCGGAAACCGCTCACCCAAGCTTTGGGTAGAATCGTTGTTTAATATCAGCATGAACCCGAGTTGAATCTACACCCGAGCCTAAACCAAAAATGCTGATCTAGACCCTGGAACCTCACTTTCAAAGAACCTGTCCTTGGGCTGGTTCTTGGTCTTCATGTCTGAAGTGACCTGCGGAGGCTGTGGGCAGAATATTCGTACTCACCATGGTCATAATCACAACTCGAAAAGGTGACCATACTCAGAATCGTGGCCTGGCGAGTTATACTTCACCACTAAAGAAAGCCAGCACAATCGGCGTTATATAAGTTGCAACAGCGATCAAGATGAGAGAGCAAGCTCGTAAGCATCATGAAAAGCCGGTGCTGTCATAACTCTGGACAGAGGACTCCGTAGTGACCTACAGGCATCTTTCACTGCCCTTTCTAACACGTAAAACTCCTGTTGAAATGCTTGCGGTCAGATAATGCCTTCTGGTTCCTTAGTAACCGCTACTAGAAGATGCCCCAAAACCCTACTCTTACTACTGAGCCCCCTACATTATCTGATTTCCAGCCGCCTTCGGCGCATAGCTTTTTGTTGTTGTGGTGTTATAGGTTGTAGGGGTTTTCGGCTTCGGGCCTGGAGCACAGATTTGGATGTGTGCGGTCTTCAGCCTGGCTTTTGCTGGTCCTGATTGCGCATTGAACTCTCAGGCAGCACATTCGTGCTGCAGGTACACAGCGTGTTCCACCGGAAAAGACCTTGAATTGAATGGTAAGCTCACGCACATTATGATATGCAGTCTACAAACGAAAGTGAAGGACCCCTATAATCAGCCGCATAGAGGCTAATTACGGCCTAATTTTAGCTGCCCATGAACCTTCCATTGGGACTCGGCGACATTGACATATCAGACGGTGGAGCCATGGTACTGACCAAAGAGATCGTCAAGTCCGCAGGGTTGGACATGAAAGCACGTAACCCTTTTGTAGCCATACGAAGTAATTATCGGCCCTGTAGTCGCATGCTCTGCTAGGCACTCGTCGTGTCTAATCATCAAAGAATTCTCTGGAATCAAAATCGTGAGGGACAGAGGAAAATGGGGATAGGTCTTAGGCAACAACGCCCACAGTCCCTACGACCGATTTGACGGTCCTAACACCGATAGAACGTGCCCCGGAACTACCTCCAGAAGAAGCTGAGGCTTGAAGGCTCTAAACCTCTTGGTATTTGGTGGCATCGCACGCTACGACGGCGTGGCGGTCCCGGCACCCAGAAAATTGGTTAAGAGAAATACTGGAGTTCAGGCTTTGAGGTTTATAATGCAAGCTTAGGGGCGGAGGATGTGACTGCAGGACTTGGCTTAAAGATCTGGTTTTGGCTTAGAAGTCTTGCACGTAAAGGCCGATATGACGCCCCATGAGAGAATAATTTAGGAGCCTTAAGAATTTCAACAGGATTTTCGGGGGGCATGTTTTACTAAACTTATCATACTGAAAGCCCAAGACATAGTGCTGGTATGTCTTGAGGCCCCTACAACACTTTTATTTTCAGGGTTCCCTACTATACAAAACTATAATGGGCGGAGCAAGGATCTTCCACCTTGCGAGGGGAGGCGGGGAGAGGTATGATATGAATATATGAGTGTATGGTTTCGTGTTTAGGGTTTAGGGTTTAGGCATAATTATGCAAATATACACTTATATGAATGTATGAACATGCGTTTGAAGATAAGTACTTCAAGCTGCTCTTACCTTCAGACACCTTCACGAAGCCAAAGGTCCAATAATCCTGAGTACCCAGGACCGCAGTGTCCCCTGGAATGCACGGAAGCCCACGTTTCGAGCATCATGTCCTTGGGGTGAGCTTTGCACCAGAACCTCTGGGAGCCTACCTCGCGAGCCTAGCCAGGCTCCGGACTTCTTGGATGTAGGGCTTAGGCCCAAGGCTTAGGCTTTTAGGTCCACATCATTGGTTTCGAGAGGGCTTGGTGGCTAGGGGCTTCTGCAGGCTTGGGACTCTAGGGCTCTTGCCGAACCTTGGGTCCGAGATTGTGGTACGAACAAGAAAACGAGCTGTACCAAGGCTGACGTGGCTCCCTTGACAGTACGAGCACACACATAAAGAGTCGCTTCTGACGTCCTGAAGCCCACACATCATGACAAACCCAGAGTTAAGCAAAAGTCTCTCGCTCCCTCTCGCCCGCTCACTGACTCCATCTCTCCCCGCCACTTTCCCTCTCTCTCTCTCTCTCT